GAGCGTGTACAATGCGGAGGAGCAGATGGATCACCACAGTCTGGTGAGATTGATGCAGTTTCCTCTGACGAGAGGTTCTGGCAGAAGCTCAAGGCTCAGAGGAAAGGCAAGACGGACGTTTAATCAGAAAGCTACTGGCACCATTAGTATCGGAACTCTTCGCTGGCTGCTGAAGATGGGGACGGAGCGCTTATGGGAATGCCCCGAGTGCTGTGATGTCGGTTCTTGAATCAAATCAAATCAAATCGACAGCACTGTAAGCATTGAAGCTGAACACATTTGTCAGATCATCGTCATCATCAAGTGTCTTGCCAGTTGCATGAGTCCCCATTCTGCGATCTTCGACAGCATGTATCAGTTCAAATGCTGACATCCCTCCATCATTATCATCATCATCAGGAGCCTTGCTGACTGGCGTAGGCAATCATGCCTCTCCACAATCTGCGATCTCCTGCAGCATGTATCACCTCCATACCATGCAACAAGACCGTCAAGAATCTTCTCTCGTTGTCTTCCTCTATCCCTCAAGACTGTCAAGAATCTTCTCTCGTTGTCTTCCTCTATCCTTCAGGACTGTCAAGAATCTTCTCTCGTTGTCTTCCTCTATCCCTCAGGACTGTCAAGAATCTTCTCTCGTTGTCTTCCTCTATCCTTCAAGACTGTCAAGAATCTTCTCTCGTTGTCTTCCTCTATCCCTCAAGACTGTCAAGAATCTTCTCTCATTGTCTTCCTCTATCCCCAAGACTGTCAAGAATCTTCTCTCATTGTCTTCCTCTATCCCTCAAGACTGTCAAGAATCTTCTCTCGTTGTCTTCCTCTATCCTCAAGACTGTCAAGAATCTTCTCTCGTTGTCTTCCTCTATCCCTCAAGACTGTCAAGAATCTTCTCTCGTTGTCTTCCTCTATCCCTCAAGACTGTCAAGAATCTTCTCTCATTGTCTTCCTCTATCCCTCAAGACTGTCAAGACTCTTCTCTCGTTGTCTTCCTCTATCCCTCAAGACTGTCAAGAATCTTCTCTCGTCTTCCTCTATCCCTCAAGACTGTCAAGAATCCTCTCGTTGACTTCCTCTATCCCTCCTTCCACAGATCTTTCCAGTGGTCACAACATGTTCCTTTTTCCCTCTTCTCATAACATGGCCGAAAAATGATGACTGTCTCCTTCTGATGTTTGTGATAAATTGTCTTCAGGCTCCCCTCTATGCCAGGACAAAAACCTGTCAGGGCTTTTCATGGTGTCTTCCTCTGCCTCTTTTTCCACAGATTTTTCTGGTGGCCACAACATGTTCCAGTTTCCTTCTTTTGATAATTTGATCCAAAAAATTCACTTTCTCTTTCTGGTGTGATATCTTTGTGACCTCACCTCTTTAAGAAAATCTGTCTTGTTCTTTTGGCTACCCAAGAAACTAAGCATTCTTCCATAAAACCACATCGTCGAGACCACAAGAAATGGGTTTGTTTATTAACTGTCCAGGATTCACAGCCAAATGTTAAAAAGGAGATGCTTTAAAAAAAAAATTCCCTGCAAACATGGTGTGGTTGTGAAGAAACATGGTGTGGCTGTAAACAAATATGATGTGGTTGTTAACAAACATGGCGTGGTTGTAAACAAACATGGCGTGGTTGTGAACAAACATGGTGTGGTTGTGAACAAACATGGTGTGGTTGTAAACAAACATGGCGTGGTTGTGAACAAACATGGTGTGGTTGTAAACAAACATGGCGTGGTTGTGAACAAACATGGTGTGGTCGTGAACAAACATGGTGTGGTTGTGAACAAACATGGTGTGGTTGTGAACAAACATGGTGTGGTTGTGAACAAACATGTTGTGGCTGTGAACAAACACGGTGTGGTTGTGAACAAACATGTTGTGGCTGTGAACAAACATGGTGTGGTTGTGAACTTTCTGTTTATTACACTGGAAAGTAAATTATAATATTCATTCATACTAACTATTTAATAAACTCTAAATCTCCCTAGCATTAAAAAAAAATTATAAACGACCCTTTTCCAAGTTTTCAGGCTCATAGGGCTAGACCTATATTTTAACTACCAATTTGCACTTGGTAGGGGAAGTGGTCATCATCATGCAGGCCGCCTTCACTTTCCAGGACTTTACCTAGTACCTATTTGAGGCTGGGTCAACCTGGGAGCCAAGGTCATTTAAAAAAAAAAACCTGAACTTGTGACCTTCCAATATGCAGGGGAGCATCTAGCCGCTCCACCATGGCGGCTTCCCTCCTTAGCATTACCTTTCACAAAAATGCTTCAGTTTGCTGGTATAATGAAGCTGTTCTTTCTTCACTTTCTCTTTTACCTGTTCAGGTGTCGATGGAGATATGAGGTTCTGCTAAGTTTTCTGGTATAATGAAGCTGTTCTTTCTTCACTTTCTCTTTTACCTGTTCAGGTGTCGATGGAGATATGAGGTTCTGTTAAGTTTGCTGGTATAATGAATCTTTTCTTCACTTCCTTTTTTACCTTTTCAGGTGACGACAGAGATAAAAGGTTCTGCTTATAGCTCTTCTGGCCACCTTGACGATAGATACATCCATCACTCTTCTGTAGTTTTTCTGATGTTATCATTTCTTCTTGTTCTTAGTCTGCCTCGTGATCTGCATCCTTCTTCTCTTTACCTTTGGAAAATAAAGTTTGTTCGTTCATATGCCTTGCATGGTGTGGTGCTAAAAGGCAGTCTCTCTAAGTGGCCAAACCATTTGATTTGCTATCTCTGTATATAATTTATAATTGATTATGTACCAACTTTGTTTTTAAGACTTTCCTGGTTTTATCTCTTCTAGTCACTTCTGCAGCCTTGGTCAGACTTTCATTAACAAATAATTAAATTAATGGTATAATGAATTCGGTGACATTATTAGTACCTTTGGTTAGGCAACACAAATGTTAATTGAGATCCTTTTGGAGAATTTTCTCCACCCAAATACACTTCTGAGTTGACTCAGCCTCATATATGTGCCCTGTTACCCTGAAAATAAGATCTTCCCCCAAAAATAAGCTGTGGTACGATTTTCAGGGCGCTTTTAATATAAGCACTACCTCAAAAAAAAAAAAAGATCAAGTTAGGATCAACAGCTAGAATGAGAGACTTGTTGCTGACAGCCAGTCCAAGTACACACACCACTTGTGCACATTTGATATTGAACAGACATGGTTCATAGTTTGCAAGAAATTTAGGCCAGAATTTAAGATTTAGAAATTTATGATGATGTTCTAAAAGATGACATGACTGTATGTGAATAAATATAGATTTTGTACAGGAATAAGTATAGATTTTTGTATCTGGAGAAAAATAAGACATGCCCACAAAAACAAGCCCTGGTACATTTTTTGAGGCAAAAATTAATATAAGATCCGGTCTTACTTTCTGGGAAACACAGTAGATATGAGGATATTTCCAGAATTTTCTTAGATTTTTTCAAGAAGGAAATGTAGTGAGGAAGTGAACCAGCCACTTCACTTCACGCATCAAGGCATAGAATGTTAGTTAAGGTTCCAACTTTCGTGCGGACGCCTCATCCCATAACCTCTCTGTTTCTATGTCATTGGAAAATCCTGTCCAATTTGAAAAACTAGTGAAAGAAACGAGTCAGCTAATTGAGAGCAAAATCATAGAGCTCACACATGCAAAGTATATTCATAAAGCAGCCATCAGATGTGCCAACACTGACAGTCTCTCACCACAATGGCAGCTCACTGTTGGTGCAAGCAGTCAATCACAAAAAGCTACAGGCAAACCTGCATAAGTAAATCCCTTAGTTTGTATAATGTATAATGCAGTTCAACAGAAAAAAAAAAATGACCTTAAATCTACAGCTGACTGTGTCAGTGAGGTATAGAATGTGTGACATCCTGTCACTACAAACTACTGTGGCAGTATATGCTGAGACTAATGTGTGACAGAGTCAAGCATGTCATTCATACATATTGTTTCAACAGATAGTACAGACACTAATGTATGACAGAGTCAGACATGTCATTTATACATATTGTTTCAACAGATAGTACATACATTCTTTCTTCTGCACGAATGCTGTCAACAGTGTTAATATTTCGCAGTAAATGACAAAGTTGTGTTTAGTTTTAGAATCATCATCATCAAGTGCCTTGCCGACTAGCGTGGGCGATCCTGCCTCTCCACCATCTGCGATCCGCAAATGTGCATATCAATTCATGTGTAGACATCCTTTTGAGTTTTAGAATACATGCTAAAAATATCTAAGTTATTGGAAGTTAGGACTCAGGATGATACAACTGGATAAATAATAATCTAAGTCATGTTAATTAAATGTTTTTTTTTTTGGTGTGTTTTGTTTACATAGGTCACACACAAAACCCCATTTCCATCTACGGACCAAAACAATATTGCATTTCATACAGAATAAGGGAAATAATCAGTAAACATGAATGCCACTGAGAATTAACTGGGTTACATCTCTTGAGCCTAACCAAATTTATATCGTATTTCGTAGCGCATTCTTGACCGCATGACCAGGCAACTGGATTACCATGATGATTAATGAGAAATTATGTTGTCATAATTTCTATTTTTTTGGGGTTAAAAGTAATTCTTACAAGAAAATCCCACGTAAATGCTTTTTTTTTAAAGCAAATATTATCATTGCGCGTGATCGCAAACATGTGCACAGGCACAAACGATACCAACGTAGTTGGCTAGGCTTTTTGTAAACAAGCAACTATAGCACATGTGAATAAGCACATATTTTAAATTACCATGTACATGAGTTAACAGGATTCTGTGAACATCTTTGATTCTCACTCATTGACTCTTTCAACACCTTGTAGTTGTTACTGAAAGACTTGTAATAGCAAAGTCTGTGTAGTTTAGAGCACTTATTTGGAAAAGAGAAGAGTATCTGTCTGGAAGTTGAGTACAGTTTGAATACCAGTTGCCTGGTATCGAAAGAGTTAATGAACCATCTTGGGAAAAACAAATATCTGAAAGTAGTCTGTTGTTAAACTGGTTATTCAAAGGACTTATCAAATGATTTATTAATACTTTTCTCTGATGTTCTGATTTTGTTTGAAGACTTTTTGGGCAAAGTATGTTTTATGGATGATGAAGTTCTTTCCAAAGGTTCAGGAGCATCTTCTGCTTCAGGAACATACTGTATCAAATAGTTGAAAACATTAGGTGCAGACCTGTCCTCGCTGTTATCTTTCCGAGCATACAAACTAAGCATATAGTTGCCTTTCTTGGAGAGAGAGATGGTGAACTTGACGTGGCCATGTGACTGGGACTGAGTAACATAATCCCTGTTATCCTCACCTGGTTCCCTCAGAAATTGAAAAGAAAGGACCACATGAGGTGGCACTTTGAGTTCTATGGATAAAGTACTGTGCTTCCTTACACGAATCTTTGCCTCTTTCTGTGAAACCAGCTTCAGCCCCATTTCATCGAATGCAGGTGTTGGGCCAAATTTGGTTTGCTTTGACTCTGCTTTGGGTATTTTAGGGATATGGACCTCAGAGGACACCTTGGTGCAGTTAATGAGGTATTTGCAAGCGTGTGAGAGAGCAGCGGGATCCGTAACTCCTTTAGGTCTGGCAAAGATGTCCAGGCCAAATTGACCCACCTGAGGAAAGGATACATAGACAGAGAGAACAGAGCCACTAGATGTCACATTGACGAAAGGATCCAACAACTTGCTCTCCACACTGTTTAACCTCAGTTTGGCAAGAAGCTGGTATGACTTCTGTGATTTGAATTTTAACTCAAAATGATCTTCCACGGTCAGTATACCAGCTCTTTTCATATCGAAATCTGGTGAAGGTTTAATCATGGGGATCAGTCCGAAATGTCTCTGAGCCTTTTTAGGGCCCCATTCACCCGGAGCACAGTTGGGAAGAGGATGCATTTTTCCAGAAAGTGTTTCACAAACAACTTTAAATTTGCATGCACATTTAAGTTTGAACGGAGCCACACTTGCATTACTTTCCTCAACACGGCCACTGTCATCAATTTTGTTGGCGAAAATTTCCATCAAGTATTGTCCAGCAATGGGCACATGAATGCTAAAAGTCACGGTATTCTCCACCATTGTCTGGAAGACGTATCGCTCTAGAGGTGTTCCCTTGTATGTCGTCTCTTTACTCTTCTCTTTGTCTGCATAACGAAGCTGATAGAAAAATACCAAGTCATTTTCATACTCTTCTGGAACACGGATGGTGATTTTGGCCCCTCCCTTATCATCGGTGGTAATCACAGCAAGCTTATGGCCTTCAAAATGCATTTTGTAATGAAAGAAAATGGATCTGTCGAAAGAGAGAAAAGAACAAGTAAGATATATATTAATCATGCACACATAAAAAGAAAAAGAAAGTAAATTATTCCCTAAAAATGGACAATCTACAATAACATTTCCCAAACTTTCCCATACAAAAAAAAAAAAACAATGTTATTAATATAATCATGAAATGAGTTACACTGCACTGTCTGTAGCTCAGTGCATCTGACACTGACTGCAAATTTTTTTTTATGGAGAAAAATAAATAAATTAAAAAAAAAAATTATTAACAAAACATTAACAGTCTACTATGAAAATTATGGGTACCAGGATGGGCTGTCCTGGGAAAGTAAAGACAGCCGGCGTAATGCTGACCACATTACCCACCGTGTGCTGATGGTCTTTAAAAATATGGGACGCTCTGCCCATATGCCCGATGCGCCGAAAGGCCTGAAAAGGGATCTTTACTTTACTTTACTTTACTTATGAAAATTTCACAAACTTTCCCAAATAAATAAAAACACTACGTTATTAATATGATCATGAAATGAGTTGCATTACCCTGCTTCATGAAAGTGAAGATCAGTGCATCTGATTTTGACAAGCAGGTTTTTTTTTCTAGCTTTCAGCTGTCCACAGTGGACCTCTGAGACAGCATGATTGTCTTTCTTTTGGTCTGGCTCCTGTGCCTTGATCTGGCCAGATCTCCAGGTTGGTTCCGAGGCTCCATTTTTAGGGGTAAAAGAATAGACCCACTGTGCCCATAACAAGCATATGTAGAAGGCAACTAATTTCCTTAAAAAGTGAGAGGTGAGGAACCAATGATCTGCATACAAATTAGCACGATTTGTAAAATGGATATGCACACAAAATTCAAGTTCTGGAACAAGACCAAAGTCCTGAAGTGGATGAACAGACAGAACTTTCTGCCGGTGAATACTAAGAAGAAGAAGATGGTGATCTATCCAACATAGGAAACCCTACTTGTGACCTCTCTAGAGGTCACCGGAATAAACCATGTTAAACATGTAAACATCAAGACAGGAAATTTTCTTCTTTGGTGTTACCCTTAAATTGGCGGTGAGCAAAATGTATTGTGGTTTACAGCCAACTAAGATTTCCGTGACTCTTTGTATCCAGTTTCAGCAAACGCATAATTAGTCATCTTTTACAATATACTTGTTAACTCTTTGAGTGCCGGGGAGTGGGGGTGGGGGGGAGGAGGTTTGCATCAGAGGCCCAAAGGGTAGTTAGGAGAGACATAAAATTGAGGCATCTTGCATTCATTGGGTTTCTAGGTAGGAACCAATAAATGTAAGATGCGTTCCTTAGAATTGAAAGAGTTAAGGAACAGCGAGTCTATCCCCCTCCCGCCCCCCCAAATAGGGCCCCAGAGCATGTTATTTTTAATGCTTCACTCTGTTCTTGATTACTGATTACTCCCTTGATGTATCTATATTTCTAAACAAAATTTTAAAATGTAGATAAATAATTTTTTTTTTTTTTTCAAAATTCATTATTTTGTGTGGCAAATAGTAATTATTATTTTTTTTTTTTTTTTAGCATTTGCAGCGCAAAAAGATTATAAAGATTGTATGCAGACAAACAATTCAATTTGGACATGAGAAGAAATTAAACTGAAGAACTTGATAACAACTAGCAAGAGTGATGAAAAGAAAGCAAGGGTAAGACTTACTTACTTACTTAGTCGCTCCTCTTCTACCTTGGGGTGTAGAGGTTTGCCAGAGAGATCGCCAGACGTCTCTATCAGCAGTTTTCTTTCTGGCTTTGTTCCATTCCAGTCCTCTGTCAGTGAGGGACTGTCGGATGTTGTCTTCCCAGCGCACCCTGGGTCGTCCCCGAGGTCTGGTTCCCTGGTTCTTAGCCTCCCATGCCTGCCATGGTGGCCGATTTTCTCCCATTCTGCATACATGTCCAAACCATCGTAACTGTGACTGATCTACTCGGGTTAGTAAGGGCTGGGTATCAAGATCTTGACGTATTGTCTGATTGCGGACTTTGTCCCTTCTTGTCACTTGGACCACCTTTCTCAGGTATCTCATTTCCGAGGCCTGCAGCTGGCTTCTGTGAGCTGTTGTCATTGCCCATGACTCACACCCATAGGTCAGGACTGGTATATAGGTAGAGTGGTAAACAGCCATTTTCGTCCTCTTGCCAATTTCTCTTTTGCTAAGAAACCCTCGGTTTATGGCCTGGAAGAGTCTCCCAGCAGCTGCTTTTCGTGTAGCCAGCTCAGTCTTAATGCCTCCGTTTTGGTCTAGTACAACTCCAAGGTATTTGAAATAAAAGGGTAAGACACAGAAGTAAATACCTGTTTGGTTTGGCCACATAAATGGGGTGGGACAAGAGCACTGACCTTATCATGTGAGATGGCGATCAACGACTGGCACATAATGATGACCACAACATGTTCAGCTTACCTGACAAATGGCAGTGCTTCAAACTCCTCAAGAGTGATAGGAGACTCCAGAAGTTGCCACTTTGGATCAGCAGCCCAAAATTCCTGAATGAACTCATCTGGGTCGGTCATGAAGTAGTGATCATCGTACTGGTATCGGATATGATCTTTTCTTTTGTGCTTGTCATCTTTGTCTTTACTCAGTACAAGATGTCTGGAGTCAAATAATTCTACTTTAGAAATATGGTATTTTAATAAAGTTACCATCAAGATGACTGACTTAACTGCACCGGGGTTTATCTAATAAGGCTCAGTTTCTCATCCCATTCATGAATTGAATGCCGCAGTCTGTGAAAAAGCTTTTTCCTTCTTTCTTCACAGATCCATTTTTCTCCACTTACAATATGTCACAGATCCATTTTTCTCCACTTACAATATGTCACAGATCCATTTTTCTCCACTTACAATATGTCACAGATCCATTTTTCTCCACTTACAATATGTCACAGATCCATTTTTCTCCCCTTACAATATGTCACAGATCCATTTTTCTCCCCTTACAATATGTCACAGATCCATTTTTCTCCACTTACAATATGTCACAGATCCATTTTTCTCCCCTTACAATATGTCACAGATCCATTTTTCTCCCTTTACAATATGTCACAGATCCATTTTTCTCCCCTTACAATATGTCACAGATTCATTTTTCTCCCCTTACAATATGTCACAGATCCATTTTTCTCCCCTTACAATATGTCACAGATCCATTTTTCTCCCCTTACAATATGTCACAGATCCATTTTTCTCCCCTTACAATATGTCACAGATCCATTTTTCTCCCCTTACAATATGTCACAGATCCATTTTTCTCCCATTACAATATGTCACAGATCCATTTTTCTCCCCTTACAATATGTCACAGATCCATTTTTCTCCCCTTACAATATGTATTTTCATGCCCTCAAACTTGCTGTGGTATTTAAATTAATTGAGCTATAATTGTCACCATTTAAACATAATTATAAATTCACAAAACAGATTATAAACAGCATATTCATATCAAAATTAAGCTACCAGTGCCAAACATGGGACAGTATTAAAGCCCCATACACAAAATCACCACTTGCCAAATGAGGTGCCTGAGAAAAAGCTGACAACCCAATTATCTCAGAAGTAGTGAATAATGATGCCATCAGGCAGATGGTGGGAACAATACCTTGCACTAGATTCATCATGAGACAGCAGATCAAGTTGTTTGGCCATCTTGTTTGTTTGCAGCAACATTAAATACCATCACAGCTACTACATTTAAGAAGATCAGCTATAATAGCAAGAGGACAGCCAAGAAAATATGGATCGACAACATTAAAGACACTTTGCACCTCCATGGCATGACAGTAGCCAGTGCCAGCCAACATACCCTATATCATCAATTATACCTCCCCATTTGGCTTAATGGCGAAAGTGATTTATAATTTATTAATAGTATCAATTCGGAGTCGCTGTGGTGTAGCGACTAGCTCTGTGGTGTAGCTGCTAGCTGATCACCTTTGGATCAGAAGGTCACGGGATTCAGGTCCTGATGAAACTGGGCTTTCTTCAAAATTCACCTTGGCTCCCAGCTCGACCCAGCCCTGAGCCAGTACCAGGTGCAGTCCTGGGAAGTAAAGGCGGGCAGCATGGATGTTGACCACATCCCCCACCCTGTGCTGATTGGTCTATAAAATAAAGGTCTAACCCTATATGCCCAATACACCTGAAGGTGTGGAAAAGAGTCCTTTACTTTACTTTTAATAGTATCACTGTAACTCTTTAGACCCTAATTGACTCACTGTGCATTTACTGAGCTTGCCTAGCTTGCTCTACTTCTTGGGGTGTCTTGCCCCCTATATAGCTGCAGCTTTAACCCATTCTATCCTAGTTGTTTATTTAGTTCCTTTTGACCACAATGTTGAGAGTCTGAAACACTTATTAATTTAAGCAACTAAGGAAAAAGAGGTGTTATACATTTAAAAAAAAAAATGTCAGGGACTGAAAGAGTTAACATATCTATCATAAAATGTAACTCAGGAGGGTTGGTGTGGAACTGGCTGCCCTAACTCATAGAAAAGGTTAGTTGTATAATACAACCAACTAAAAACAGATTTAAAGAAAAGGTCAGGATAACACAAGGAATCAAGATGAGAGGTGGCTCTTCTACTACAAGGAAAATGATGCTATGAAAAGAAACAGAAGTGGAATTACTCTACTCAGATCTCATCTTCTACTTCAAAGGAAGAAAAGTTTTGAAAATGACAAAAGAAAATATAATATGTAAAAGTGATCCCTTTGCCTTTGTGACTTAGACAAAAAAAAAAAAAAGCTAGTGGTCTGTATTTCAACAATTCTCAAAAAACTAAGCATTTAAAAAAAAAAACTTTGGTCACACACAAAACCCATTTTCATGTACAGATCAAAACGATAGTTACACAGAATAAGGGAATTAATCAGTAAACCTGAATGCCACTGAGAATTAACTGAGTTACATCTCTTTGAGCCTAACAAAATTTATATTGTGGTTCATTCTTGACCGGGTAACTTGATTACCACCATTACTGAATATGAGTATTCTGATGGTCTTAGGTGACACCTGTGAAAGGGTTGTTTAAACCCCAAAAGGGTTGTGGCCCACAGATTGAGAATCGCTGCACTTTAGCAATGTTGACAAAGTGACATTTACAAAGCATGAAACAAATCGTTAGAATTAGCTAAAGGAGGCTAACAACTCGGGTCTTACCTGGCTCCCCAGTTACACTGAATAAGCCTCCATTCTCCATCAATGAATACAGCATTCCAGGTGTTTTGGAAAATATCAGGAGTAATCTTCATGCCTGGTTCATATCCCACACTCTTAGAATGACCCTTGATTTCGACACAGTGAAGACCAGCATAGCTGAAACAGAAGAAAGTTTGTGCACAGGAAATTCTCAATAGTTTTACCTCACCAATATAACAATTAAAACTTCATGCTCTTCAATGACACCTCTGATTTAATTTCGGACCTGATTACACTTCCAGGACCAGGATTGGAGTAACTTCCCTTGCCATTCAGACCTCCTTAAGTCACTGGACCTCTCCTATGCTGTGGGGGTGTTATGATATGGCTTGGTTTGGTGATTGCTTGGCATATGTAGTGTTTGTGGAAGGCTGTGAGTCTATATGAGGTGCCGCAGGCGCCTGTGTACAAGTAAGACGTACTGCAGGTGGAAGCGCAGCAAGCGCGATGATTCTTGGCTATTGAACCTGGGATGTTTTTGTATTTCTACATTCATTGGCAGTGGCTACCCCCTGATAGAAATACAGCAGTAACAAAGAGCTTAGGAATTTAAAAAAAATTTGTTTCCATATTCATATGAAAATAATCACGCAAGTAAGCGGTGAGAGGATGAGAAAAGTGGTAACGGTTACACCGCTCACAATAAAAAAATCTGGACTCCTCGCTACATAGGAGAGGTCCAGCGACCTAAGGAGGCATGAATGGCAAGGGAAGTTACTCTAATCCTGGGTCTGGAAACGTGAATTTCTTCTTTTTCTCCTTCTTCTTCACTTCTTCTTGTACTGCTTTGGGGTGCTAAGAGGCATGTATGGTTCTGTTTCCTGCTCTTCTAGCTGCCTTGACCATAAACACATTGTGCCATTGCAGAGTTTCTCTGATGTTATATTTCCATGTAATATGTTCTTGGTCTACTCTCAACTCTATATCCCTCTCCTCTTTTGGGGTTTGCCTGGTATGAAAAATAAATTTTATTTGCTATCTTTGTATGTAATTAAGAATTAATTCTGTGCTGACTTTTTCTCTTAAAAGTTTATTTCTAATTTGATCTCTTCTTGTCTCTCCTGCAGCCATTTTTAGACATCTCATTTCCACAGTTACTAATTTGCTCATTGTGCATCTGCCTGAGAGGCTAGGAACTTGAAAACAACAAAAGCACAGATTTCAAAAACGGATATGCATACATAAGTCAAGATCTAAAACAAGACTAAAGACTTGAAGTGGATGAACAACCAGAACTGTCTGCTGGAGTTTACAGCTGATGAAAGCTCAGAAGAAGAAGAAAATATTGTCTGCTGGCACCTCTCTGTCAGTAGTACTGAAGACATGGAAACCACAATCAATAGCCATGGAGTGTGTTAACAAAACCAGTTCAAATTAATAGTCTTCCACAATAAGTACATGGCATTTCAGGACCATTGTTGTCATCACTTGTACCTGACAAGATTATTTTTCAAACATTCAGTTCCGAACCTCCATGTGTGTTGTTGTTATCACTTGTACCTGATAAGATTATTTTTCAAACATTCAGTTCCCAACCTCCATGTGTGTTGTTGTCATCACTTGTACCTGACAAGATTATTTTTCAAACATTCAGTTCCCAACCTCCATGTGTTGTTGTCATCACTTCTAACAACACTAATTTGTTGCCTTATACAACATGCTTTTTAGGGAGGCAGTGGATAAATTCTAATTGTTTGGGGGGGGTCACTAAAAATTGGCCCCAGGAACCCTCATGGAAATACGCATCAAAAGGAACATAAAAATGAATGAGATCACAGCAGTAACTAACCTGCATAGCCTCATGAATAAAACATGATAGGTTTCTGTTCCAAATTTGATGCCTCTGAGGAGCCCCATGGGAGTATCAACATCTAGGTCATCGGCAAACTCCATAACATTGAGATCTTTCACACAGATCCAGCGGTAAATAGCTCTGCAAAGATTACATAAATATTTAACCTTACATAAATTACATATGTGTGTTGGGAAATGAGCAGGCAGAAATACTGGCCAGTTCTGCACCACTTGGTGGTGAATTGATGTATGAGAGGCTGGAAGTTGTGAGGGCCCTTTGGGAGCGAGTGAACAGTGCCAAGGAATAGATGGATCATTACGGTCTGAGGAGTATGGCACTGCGAGGAGTTACAAGGGGATCTGGCTGACATTTGACACTCAGGAGAAAGGCAAGAGTGATATACAATCAGACAGTTCCATAACATTTTAACTCTCTGCTTGCTGCTGAAGATGGGGACGAAGCGCTTATGAGGGTGTCCCGAATGCTGTGATGTGGATTCCTAAGTCAACATTCAAATTATATATCACAACTGTATGTGTGTAACTTGTTTTTCTTATAGTCCATACAGAGTGGCTGGGAGTAGAGGTTCTGGAAAGATGTTCGTTCAGCACTGAGGGGAAAACATTTAATCAGGTTGCATGTTGACTCTTCACTGGCTTCTGAAGATGAGGACAGAGCATGTGTGGGAATGTCCTGAGTGCAATGATGTCAATTTTTGATTGATTGATTCATTCAAACAGAAGTAGATTTCTCTCAGACAATGGGTACTGTTCTCACCAACAGGTGGTCCGTGTTTCACTTCAGGTTCATCTCAAGGATGTGAATCAAAGTAGAGAAAATCCCTGACACCCAGCTCAACCTAGAACACAGATTTATTAGGACATCTCTATGGTCGCACAGTATTCTGCAGTTTAATGTGGGGTGGGATTGTTATTTTATTTGTTCAGGGGTGCGGTTGTTATATGTTCTGTGGTGGGATTGTTATATGTCCTGTAGTGGGATTGTTATATGTTCTGTGGTGGGATTGTTATATGTCCTGTAGTGCGGTTGTTATATGTTCTGTGGTGGGATTGTTATATGTCCTGTAGTGGGATTGTTATATGTTCTGTGGTGGGATTGTTATATGTCCTGTAGTGGGATTGTTATATGTTCTGTGGTGGGATTGTTATATGTCCTGTAGTGCGGTTGTTATATGTTCTGTGGTGGGATTGTTATATGTCCTGTAGTGGGATTGTTATATGTTCTGTGGTGGGATTGTTATATGTCCTGTAGTGCGGTTGTTATATGTTCTGTGGTGGGATTGTTATATGTCCTGTAGTGGGGTTGTTATATGTTCTGTGGTGGGATTGTTATATGTCCTGTAGTGGGGTTGTTATATGTTCTGTGGTGGGATTGTTATATGTCCTGCAGTGGGATAGTTATCTGTTCTGTGGTTTGATTGTTATATGTTCTGTGGTGGGATTGTTATATGTCCTGTAGTGGGATTGTTATATGTTCTGGGGTGAAATTTTCATATGTCCTGCAGTGGGATAGTTATCTGTTCTGTGGTTTGATTGTTATATGTTCTGTGGTGGGATTGTTATATGTTCTGTGGTGGGATTTTTATATGTTATGTGGTGGTATTGTTTTATATTCTGTGGTGGGTTTGTTATTTGTTCTGGGGTGGAACTGTTTTATATTCTGGGAAGGAACTGTTATATGTCCTAGGGTAGGATTGTTATATGTTCTGTGGTGGGATTGTTATATGTCATGTAGTGGAATTGTTATATGTTCTGGGGTGAAACTGTTATAAGTTCTGGGGTGAAACTGTTATATGTTCTGGGGTGAAACTGTAAGTTCTGGGGTGAAACTGTTATAAGTTCTGGGGTGAAACTGTTATAAGTTCTGGGGTGAAACTGTTATAAGTTCTGGGGTGAAACTGTTATATGTTCAGGGGTGAAACTGTTATATGTTCAGGGGTGAAACTGTTATATGTTCTGGGGTGAAACTGTTATAAGTTCTGGGGTGAAACTGTTATAAGTTCTGGGGTGAAATTGTTATATGTTCTGGGGTGAAACTGTTATATGTTCTAGGGTGAAATTGTTATAAGTTCTGGGGGTGAGACTGTTATAAGTTCTGGGGTGAAACTGTTATAAGTTCTGGGGTGAAACTGTTATTTGTTCTGGGGTGAAACTGTTATAAGTTCTGGGGTGAAACTGTTATAAGTTCTGGGGTGAAACTGTTATAAGTTCTGGGGTGAAACTGTTATATGTTCAGGGGTGAAACTGTTATATGTTCAGGGGTGAAACTGTTATATGTTCTGGGGTGAAACTGTTATAAGTTCTGGGGTGAAACTGTTATAAGTTCTGGGGTGAAATTGTTATATGTTCTGGGGTGAAACTGTTATATGTTCTAGGGTGAAATTGTTATAAGTTCTGGGGGTGAGACTGTTATAAGTTCTGGGGTGAAACTGTTATAAGTTCTGGGGTGAAACTGTTATATGTTCTGGGGTGAAACTGTTATAAGTTCTGGGGTGAAACTGTTATAAGTTCTGGGGTGAAACTGTTATATGTTCTGGGGTGAAACTGTTATAAGTTCTGGGGTAAAACTGTTATATGTTCAGGGGTGAAGCTGTTATAAGTTCTGGGGTGAAACTGTTATAAGTTCTGGGGTGAAACTGTTATAAGTTCTCCCCAACAATTTGTAAATAGGCCAAATGGGAAAAATATAATGAAAAGCTGAAATGATACCATTGACCTATTATTTGTCTGTAAAATAAGACACTAAATGTTCAGTAATGATTTTTGGATGAATTTTAATATAAACTTTAATAAAAATGTTCAGTTATATATTGATGGTAATTCAATAAATTAACATAATATTTTCAACAACAACAATATCATCCCTTACCTGGCCTTCTCTAAGTCAGATATTAAATCTTCCGTAAGCTGCCTCACAAGATCTGTGTATGTCAGCTGTTCTCCTTCTGCAACCTGTAACCAAAGGGTTAACTACATTTGACATTGAGTCAAAATATTTTTTGTGCATATTATAAGAAGGAGTTTAAGGTTTAACCCTACCAGACCTGAGGCCCTGAACCTAACTGCCCCCTATACCTGAGCTCATGGGCATCAACATGAAAAACCAACATGATATACACAAATAATAATTACATGCAAACAAGTGGTTAGAATAAGTTGAAACTTGGAGACATTGTACAAAACAGGTTTACCTTTCATCTGGTGCCAATATTCCACCTTTTTCATCAAATTCTGACTCCTCAAGAGTCTAAATCAACTAAAGTATTGATCACCTGTTGGACTGTGAAAAGCCTAGACCTACTTCACTTTCCTGTAGAAGTGTCTGGTTCATCAGCCGTTCATTATATTGTGAATTTTCAGAATTTTTCCCCGTCAAACAACACAAAGAAAACCCAGACACAGGTGGGCAGCAATTCTCAATGACTAACCACGATTTCTGATAACGATTGGCTAGTTATTTTTAGTTTGTGACGCATTGTTTTCTCATAGTTTGCAAATTCCTGACATTGAGGGTCAGCGGTTTTGCGGCAGAGTAGGAAATTCCCATAATAGCGGGCCAGCGGTCTGGTAGAGTTAATCGATAGATCAGCATCATGGCACAAGGGTAGTAACCCATAAGTGTTCCATTTACTTCTAACTCAAGTCTAAGTCCGAAGAATCTCAGCACAAAGCATGAACTCCACAGCACACAGAGGATCCTAAACTACTTTGGGTAGACTTTAAACTCCAAATTTTGCCCGGACAGCGCCGTTAGGCTACTCTTTTTGATTTCCATCTGGTAAGGGATTTTTTTAACGTGCACAACAATACATGCAGTCATCCAATCTTACTACCCAGAGACCAGGGAAAATTACTAGAAGTCCAAGTGAAAAAAAATCCCATCCCTCACTGGGATTTGAACCCGAGACCTCTAGCACACAATGCAGACACTCTGCCCCGAGACCATGTAGCCCCAAAAGAAGTTATAAGATAGAGAAGATGATGCTATATTGGACACATTCTAAGAAGAGATAAACAGAGAATCAGCTACAGGCACTCAAATTGAAAATAGAGGGATTGAGGAAATTATGACATCCAAGAGAAACCATACAGTGACGTTGATGAGAGAAGTAAACCATACGGCGAAGCTGATGAGAGAAGTAAACCATACAGTGAAGTTGATGAGAGAAGTAAACCATACAGTGAAGTTGATGAGAGAAGTAAACCATACAGTGAAGTTGATGAGAGAAGTAAACCATACAGTGAAGTTGATGAGAGAAGTAAACCATATGGTGAAATTGATGAGAGAAGTAAACTTTACGGTGAAGTTGACGAGAGAAGTAAACCATACGGTGAAATTGATGAGAGAAGTAAACCATACGGTGAAGTTGATGAGAGAAGTAAACCATACAGTGAAGTTGATGAGAGAAGTAAACCATACAGTGAAGTTGATGAGAGAAGTAAACCATACGGTGAAGTTGATGAGAGAAGTAAACCATACAGTGAAGTTGATGAGAGAAGTAAACCATACGGTGAAGCTGATGAGAAGTAAACCATACGGTGAAGCTGATGAGAGAAGTAAACCATACGGTGAAGCTGATGAGAAGTAAACCATACGGTGAAGTTGATGAGAGAAGTAAACCATACGGTGAAGCTGATGAGAGAAGTAAACCATACGGTGAAGCTGATGAGAAGTAAACCATACGGTGAAGCTGATGAGAAGTAAACCATACGGTGAAGTTGATGAGAGAAGTAAACCATACAGTGAAGCTGATGAGAGAAGTAAACCATACGGTGAAGTTGATGAGAGAAGTAAACCATACAGTGAAGCTGATGAGAGAAGTAAACCATACGGTGAAGTTGATGAGAGAAGTAAACCATACAGTGAAGTTGATGAGAGAAGTAAACCATACGGTGAAGTTGATGAGAGAAGTAAACCATACAGTGAAGCTGATGAGAGAAGTAAACCATACGGTGAAGTTGATGAGAGAAGTAAACCATACAGTGAAGCTGATGAGAGAAGTAAACCATACGGTGAAGCTGATGAGAGAAGTAAACCATACGGCGAAGCTGATGAGAGAAGTAAACCATACGGTGAAGTTGATGAGAGAAGCAAATGATATGGTGAAGTTGATGAGAGAAGTAAACCATATGGTGAAGCTAATGAGAGAAGCCAAAGGTGCTGTACTGGATTCCCTACATAATATCGAAGTGATTGCACAGGATACAGTAGGATGGAGCAATAGATTGCAAGCCTTATTTGACATATAATGGCCACAACAGGACAATGAAGTCAGGAAAAGGAAATAAACCTGGAAGCAAAGTGATATTCAGCAAACAATGAGAAAAACTGGTATGTAGGGAATCCAGTCCAGCACCTTTGGCTTCTCTCATCGACTTCACCGTTTGGTTTCTCTTGGATGAAATCATTTCATCAATCCATCTATTTTCCAATTTCAGTGCCTTTAGCTGATTCTCTGTTTGTCTCTTCTCAGAGTGTCCAATATAGCAAAATCTTCTCTATATAGTTTGTTTTTTTCAATTGACAAATCAGGTTTCTACACACAACCACTAAACTATGAGGTGCTTCAGAGCAACACTCCATGTTTGTTAAAATGAGCAGAAGGTAACAATTCATACTTGCTAGATATCCAATAGGAGAATTGATTAGTAATATAGAATAACAATTAACCTTTTGACCCAGAAACCCTTGGGGAAGTAGGTCATGCACCAGAAAACTCTCCCAAAAAGTACTTATAAATAAACAACCTTTTTATCAACAGTAGGCATACAAATAAGTCAGATCTGTAAAGTGGATGTGCATGCAAAACTCAAGTTCTGCAACAAAACTAACGTCCAGAAGTGGACAAATAACCAGAACGTTCCACTAGAGTTTACAGCCGGTGAGGGTGAAGAAAACAGAAGTAATGGTTATATCAAAGAAGAAGATAATTCCACTTTGTGATATCTCAATTGAAGGAAAAAGACAACCAAGTCAATAAATTTACATATCTGGGAACAATCATATCATCAGCTGGAAAATGTGTGACAGAGATTAAAAGCAGAATAGGTCAAGTGAAAGCTGCATTTCAGAAAATGAAAAATATCTTATGCAATAAATCACTCTCATTTAATGTTAGAAAGAGGGTGCTAAAATGTTAAATAGAACCTGTTCTGCTATATGGCAGCAAATCTTGGAATGTCATTGAACAAATTAAGAAGAATTTGGAAGCAACAGAGATGTGGTTTCTGAGACGAATGTTATGAATACCTTGAGACGGCCAGAGTAACTAACAACGATTGCTTGAAAGAGGCTAATGAAAGTAGATCATATATACAACAATAAGAAAGAGACAAACACTGATCTTTGGCCACATAATGAGAAGAGAGACGTTGGAGAATATTGTAACAACTGGAAATTTCAGTGGAAAAAGGAGTAGAGGCAGACCAAGAGAGATGATGCTGGATGTGCTAAAACGATGGCATGGAGGGATATCATTAGGAGAGCTGTTCCAGGCGTCCTGGGATCGTGATCTGTGGAGTCGCATGAGCACCTATGCCAGTTGGCAGGGCACATGATGCTGATGATGATAAGGGTGGAGAAGGAGGAGATACACTACCTTGATAACTTGCTCATCAATGTATTCAAAAACAGATGTATCGGGAAGCAAGTCCTCCTTCCTGCACACAGGGGCTTGAGGAGATGGTGGCGCCACCACTGCTGAAAGTGGCAAAATATCCAGGACTTCATCTAAAGTTTCTGGTCCTCCATTCACATGAGGCGACTGCTGACCATTCTGCAATCGTACTGATGTCTGAAAAATATAAGCAGTAACATAACTGTTCTGCAGATTTTGAATACTCTTGCAGCAAATGTTTAGCCATCATTTTATAATCTCCACAGTTACAATCATCAGTGTCCCCTATCTTCAGCTTACTGAACCAATGGTGTTTCAACCTATTACATCCTGTATGGAGTCTAAAAATCACAACTTGTTTTCTCTGGTCAAGTTGGTAGTTATGCATCATCCTTCTAGGGGCCTGGAGGTTTCAGAATTCCATTTGCTACTACAGGTACTTCTTATAAACTTCTTGGCTTATAAACTTCTTGGCTTATAAACTTCTTGGCTTATAAACTTCTTGTCTTATAAACTTCTTGTCTTATAAACTTCTTGGCTTATAAACTTCTTGGCTTATAAACTTCTTGGCTTATAAACTTCTTGTCTTATAAACTTCTTGTCTTATAAACTTCTTGGCTTATAAACTTCTTGGCTTATAAACTTCTTGGCTTATAAACTTCTTGTCTTATAAACTTCTTGGCTTATAAACTTCTTGGCTTATAAACTTCTTGGCTTATAAACTTCTTGTCTTATAAACTTCTTGTCTTATAAACTTCTTGTCTTATAAACTTCTTGTCTTATAAACTTCTTGTCTTATAAACTTCTTGTCTTATAAACTTCTTGTCTTATAAACTTCTTGGCTTATAAACTTCTTGGCTTATAAACTTCTTGGCTTATAAACTTCTTGGCTTATAAACTTCTTGGCTTATAAACTTCTTGTCTTATAAACTTCTTGTCTTATAAACTTCTTGTCTTATAAACTTCTTGGCTTATAAACTTCTTGGCCTCATCATTTGTTATGTTTATATAAGGCTGGTGTTGTCTTCCACCTTCCCTTGCCAATCCGCCTTATGCATTTAATGCTTCTGTATAATATTGCTTGGTCTTTATTTATATCTTACCCCACAGATGATGTCACAGGCTAGTCCCACATATTAGATCGTGGTAAGACTGGGTTTACCGGCTTTCTGATGCTTTAACAACCCCAAAACAACTCGAACTGGCCCTAACCCTAACCCACCTATGTCCCAAAAGAGAGTGCAGCCTAGGTCCCATGACTGCATGCAGCCTATCTACCACCTCCTGAAATATTAGACTGTCCCACGACCTTTGGGTTTCCCATGTTTGGGATAGGATATTAATAAAGCATCAGCTTTGATTTGCTGAGACACCAGTCTGCGTACAATTTTTTATTCACAAGGGACAGTGTTGGGCATTCAGTGTGGTTTTTGTTGGCACAGGAACAGAACAACTATGGGGTGACCAGTTTGCTATGAAGTTGAAACTGTGATTACCTGATTACCTGAAGGTTGGCTGCAACATTCACTGTCTCTCAACCCGGAATGTACACACACTGTCTCTCAACCCTGAATGTACACACACTGTCTCTCTACCCTGAATGTACACACACTGTCTCTCAACCCTGAATGTACACACACTGTCTCTCAACCCTGAATATACACATACTGTCTCTCAACCCAGAATGTACACACACTGTCTCTCAACCCGGAATGTACACACACTGTCTCTCAACCCGGAATGTACACACACTGTCTCTCAACACGGAATGTACACACACTGTCTCTCAACATCAAATGTACACTCATTCAAGCTTCTGTATCTTTAATTTCTTAATTTTACTCTATTCTGCTTCTTGCCCTCAACTTGTCACTCTAATAAATGGGTTTAAAAAAAGTTTTAACTTGTAAAGCTGGTTGAAATATTTCACTTGCTTTTTCTTACTTTCCTCACTCTCTTTTCTAACCAGAACCTATGTATTTGACTGTTTCCCCCCGCCCCCCCCCTCCCCCCCCCCTTTCTAACCAGAACTTATGTATCTGACTGTTCTCCCCCTCTTCTAACCAGAACTTATGTATCTGACTGTTCTTCCCCCCTTCTAACCAGAACTTATGTATTTGACTGTTCTCCCCCCTTCTAACCAGAATTTATGTATCTGACTGTTCTTCCCCCCTTCTAACCAGAACTTATGTATCTGACTGTTCTCCCTCTCTTCCAACCAGAACTTATGTATCTGACTGTTCTCCCCCCCCCCCCTTATAACCAGAACTTATGTATTTGACTGTTCTTCCCATCTTCTAACCAGAACTTATGTATCTGACTGTTCTTCCCCCCTTCTAACCAGAACTTATGTATCTGACTGTTCTCCCCCCTTCTAACCAGAACTTATGAATCTGACTGTTCTCTCTCCCCCCCCCCCTTCTAACCAGAACTTATGTATCTGACTGTTCTTCCCCCTTCTAACCAGAACTTATGTATCTGACTGTTCTCCCCCTTCTAACCAGAACATGTATCTGACTGTTCTTCCCCTCTTCTAACCAGAACTTATGTATCTGACTGTTCTCTCCCCCTTCTAACCAGAACTTATGTATCTGACTGTTCTCCCTCTCTTCTAACCAGAACTTATGTATCTGACTGTTCTCCCCCTTCTAACCAGAACTTATATATCTGACTGTTCTTCCCCTCTTCTAACCAGAACTTATGTATTTGACTGTTCTCCCCCCTACCACCCCCCCCCCCCTCTTCTAACCAGAACCTATGTATTTGACTGTTCTTCCCCCCTTCTAACCAGAACTTATGTAACTGACTGTTCTCCCCCTCTTCTAACCAGAACTTATGTATCTGACTGTTCTTCCCCTCTTCTAACCAGAACTTATGTATCTGACTGTTCTCCCCCCCCCCCTTCTAACCAGAACTTATGTATCTAACTGAACTTATGTAACTGTTCTTCCCCTCTTCTAACCAGAACTTATGTAACTGACTGTTCCCCCCCCCCCCTCTTCTAACCAGAACTTATGTATCTGACTGTTCCCCCTCCCCCTCTTCTAACCAGAACTTATGTATCTGACTGTTCTCCCTCCTTTCTAACCAGAACTTATGTATCTGACTGTTCTCCCCCTTCTAACCAGAACTTATGTATCTGACTGTTCTTCCCCCCTTCTAACCAGAACTTATGTATCTGACTGTTCTCCCCCTCTTCTAACCAGAACTTATGTATCTGACTGTTCTCCCTCCTTCTAACCAGAACTTATGTATCTGACTGTTCTTCCCCCCTTCTAACCAGAACTTATGTAACTGACTGTTCTCCCCCTCTTCTAACCAGAACTTATGTATCTGACTGTTCTTCCCCCCTTCAAACCAGAACTTATGTATCTGACTGTTCTTCCCCTCTTCTAACCAGAACTTATGTAACTGACTGTTCTCCCCCTCTTCTAACCAGAACTTATGTAACTGACTGTTCTCCCCCTCTTCTAACCAGAACTTATGTTTCTGACTGTTCTGACTGTTCACCCCCCCCCCCCCCTTCTAACCAGAACTTATGTATCTGACTGTTCTTCCCCCCCCCCCTTCTAACCAGAACTTATGTATCTGACTGTTCTCCCCTCCCCCCTTCTAACCAGAACTTATGTAACTGACTGTTCTCCCCCCTTCTAACCAGAACTTATGTATCTGACTGTTCTTCCCCCTCTTCTAACCAGAACTTATGTAACTGACTGTTCTCCCCCTCTTCTAACCAGAACTTATGTTTCTGACTGTTCTTCCCCCCTTCTAACCAGAACTTATGTAACTGACTGTTCTCCCCCTCTTCTAACCAGAACCTATGTAACTGACTGTTCTTCCCCCCTTCTAACCAGAACTTATGTATCTGACTGTTCTCCCCCCCCCTCTTCTAACCAGAACTTATGTAACTGACTGTTCTCCCCCTCTTCTAACTAGAACTTATGTAACTGACTGTTCTTCCCCTCTTCTAACCAGAACTTATGGATTTGACTGTTCCCCCCCCCCCCTTTCTAACCAGAAATTATGTATCTGACTTTTCTCCCTCTCTTCTAACCAGAACTTATGTATCTGACTGTTTTCCCTCCTTCTAACTAGAACTTATGTATCTGACTGTTCTTCCCCTCTTCTAACCAGAACTTATGTAACTGACTGTTCTCCCCTCTTCTAACCAGAACTTATGTATCTGACTGTTCTTCCCCCTTCAAACCAGAACTTATGTATCTGACTGTTCTTCCCCTCTTCTAACCAGAACTTATGTAACTGACTGTTATGTAACTGACTGTTTCTCCCCCTCTTCTAACCAGAACTTATGTAACTGACTGTTCTCCCCCTCTTCTAACCAGAAACTTATGTTTCTGACTGTTCTGACTGTTCTCCCCCCCCCCCCCCCTTCTAACCAGAACTTATGTATCTGACTGTTCTTCCCCCCCCCCCTTCTAACCAGAACTTATGTATCTGACTGTTCTCCCCCTCCCCCTTCTAACCCAGAACTTATGTAACTGACTGTTCTCCCCTCCCCCCCTTCTAACCAGAACTTATGTAACTGACTGTTCTTCCCCCTCTTCTAACCAGAACTTATGTAACTGACTGTTCTCCCCCTCTTCTAACCAGAACTTATGTTTCTGACTGTTCTTCCCCCCTTCTAACCAGAACTTATGTAACTGACTGTTCTCCCCCCTCTTCTAACCAGAAACTTATGTAACTGACTGTTCTTCCCCCCTTCTAACCAGAACTTATGTATCTGACTGTTCTCCCCCCCTCCTCCCCCCTTCTAACCAGAACTTATGTAACTGACTGTTCTCCCCCCCTTCTAACCACAACTTATGTATCTGACTGTTCTTCCCCCTCTTCTAACCAGAACTTATGTAACTGACTGTTCTCCCCCTCTTCTAACCAGAACTTATGTTTCTGACTGTTCTTCCCCCCTTCTAACCAGAACTTATGTAACTGACTGTTCTCCCCCTCTTCTAACCAGAACTTATGTATCTGACTGTTCTCCCCCCCCCCTCCTTTCTAACCAGAACTTATGTATCTGACTGTTCTTCCCCCCCCCCTTCTAACCAGAACTTATGTAACTGACTGTTCTCCCCCTCTTCTAACTAGAACTTATGTAACTGACTGTTCTTCCCCTCTTCTAACCAGAACTTATGGATTTGACTGTTCCCCCCCCCCCCCTTTCTAACCAGAAATTATGTATCTGACTTTTCTCCCTCTCTTCTAACCAGAACTTATGTATCTGACTGTTTTCCCTCCTTCTAACTAGAACTTATGTATCTGACTGTTCTTCCCCTCTTCTAACCAGAACTTATGTAACTGACTGTTCTCCCCCTCTTCTAACCAGAACTTATGTATCTGACTGTTCTTCCCCCCTTCAAACCAGAACTTATGTATCTGACTGTTCTTCCCCTCTTCTAACCAGAACTTATGTAACTGACTGTTCTCCCCCTCTTCTAACCAGAACTTATGTAACTGACTGTTCTCCCCCTCTTCTAACCAGAACTTATGTTTCTGACTGTTCTGACTGTTCTCCCCCCCCCCTTCTAACCAGAACTTATGTATCTGACTGTTCTTCCCCCCCCCTTCTAACCAGAACTTATGTATCTGACTGTTCTCCCCTCCCCCCTTCTAACCAGAACTTATGTAACTGACTGTTCTCCCCCCCCCTTCTAACCAGAACTTATGTATCTGACTGTTCTTCCCCCTCTTCTAACCAGAACTTATGTAACTGACTGTTCTCCCCCTCTTCTAACCAGAACTTATGTTTGTGACTGTTCTTCCCCCCTTCTAACCAGAACTTATGTAACTGACTGTTCTCCTCCTCTTCTAACCAGAACTTATGTAACTGACTGTTCTTCCCCCCCCTTCTACCAGAACTTATGTATCTGACTGTTCTCCCCCCCCCCCTTCTAACCAGAACTTATGTATCTGACTGTTCCTTCCCCCCCCCCCCCTTCTAACCAGAACTTATGTATCTGACTGTTCTCCCCTCCCCCTTCTAACCAGAACTTATGTAACTGACTGTTCTCCCCCCTTCTAACCAGAACTTATGTATCTGACTGTTCTTCCCCCTTCTAACCAGAACTTATGTATCTGACTCCCCCCCCCCTCCTTCTAACCAGAACTTATGTATTTGACTGTTCTCTCCCCCCCCCTTCTAACCAGAACTTATGTATCTGACTGTTCTCCCCCTCTTCTAACCAGAACTTATGTATCTGACTGTTCTCCCCCCCCCCCTTTCCCTTCTAACCAGAACTTATGTATCTGACTGTTCTTCCTCCCTTCTAACCAGAACTTATGTATCTGTTCTCCCCCTCTTCTAACCAGAACTTATGTATCTGACTGTTCTTCCCCCTTCTAACCAGAACTTATGTATCTGACTGTTCTCCCCCTCTTCTAACCAGAACTTATGTATTTGACTGTTCTCCCCCCCCCCCCCCCCTCCTAACCAGAACTTATGTATCTGACTGTTCCCCCCCCCCCCCCCCCCCCCCCGTTTCCACCCCACCCTGCCCTCTTGAAATGTAACCTATTCTTCTGTAGGTAAATCAACATCTACATGATCTCTGATAAACTTTCTAACTGCTTTATAAATACACTTGTTACAGCCCCTCTGTTGGATATCAACTGCAGCCAACCTTCTGGAGAAGACATGACCAACTAACTTTCAATAATTTGCAGACAAATCTTACCAACATCTAAACCATAAATACATTGCTAATTCAAGAAATGTCAAATCACCTTAGCTCTAATACAAGAAATGTCAAATCACCTTAGCTCTAATACAAGAAATGTCAAATCACCTTAGCTCTAATACAAGAAGTGTCAAATCACCTTAACTATAATACAAGAAATGTCAAATCACCTTAGCTATCTCTTTTGCAAATTCAGCTTTTAACTCCTGCTGCTCCTTGGCCAGCATTTCCAGCATAACCTGGCTTTGTTTCTTCACCAGTCTGGCCGTCTGCTCCTGTTCTTTTTGCCTCAGACGCAGCGTCATGGTCTTCTTTTTAGTCTGTTTCTTTGATGTCATTGTAGCCGCCAAATCCTGCTTCTCATTTTCATACTGTATAGTCATCATCTATTAGATATAAATGATGAATAAACCTTGTTGAACAGAACTCAAAAAGCTATGTGTTTATTAGTATTATCATATCTAAAAATTATGAATATACCTTGTTAATAGAACTCTTAAAGATTAGTATTATCATATCTAAAAATGATGAATATACCTTGTTAATAGAACTCTAAAAGCTATGTGTTCATTAGTATTATCGTATCTAAAAATGATGAATATACCGTGTAAATAGAACTCTAGAAGCTATGTGTTCATTTGTATTATCATATCTAAAAATGATGAATATACCTTGTTAACAGAACTCTAGAAGCTATGTGTTTATTTGTATTATCGTATCTAAAAAAACAAAAAAAGTGGCAAGGATTTATTAGGTAAATTAATTAAAATTGAAAGTGATAGTGCAGTGAGAAAAATAAGAGTGGTTGGTTGATTACTGGAGACTTATGCAGAATATGATCTATGGTTCTATTATTTCTTTCAAAAACAACTTTCTTTTTATTCCCAGTCCCTGCACAACCTCTGTATTTGATTGGTTTTGTTTCTATAATCAATGTAAATTAGACAATTTTTGCTGATGATATGCTTGAAAAAAGTTACATTTTAAATTTAAAATTGAATAATTTAAGCAAAATATACCAAACCGTACCACTATAACACACCCCCCCCCTCTTCCCCCCCCCCCCACCCCCCCCCTAGCAGCTGCGCAGAATATAGGGAATTAAATGGTATGATAGAATAACTAATGTAGAGCTTTGGGAGAGAACTAAGCAAACTCCAGTGGACCAAGGGGTGAGTAAAAGTCATTGGCGTTGGATAGAACACACATTGAGAAAACCGGAGAACAGCATAACTAAAATGTCTTTGCATTGGAACCCACAGAGGCATAGGGATAAAGAAAGGCCAAAAAACACATGGAGAAGAGAGCTGGAGAATGAAGTTATAAAGATGGGGAACTACTTGGGGAGTGCTCCATGCGAAAGCAAAGGATAGCACGACTTGGCGTAAGTTGGCTGAGGGCTTATGCTCCATTGGGGGATAGAAAGTCAGAAAAAGAAAGAAGAAGAATTTAAGCAAAATATACCAAACCATCCCACTATAACATCCCCCCTCCTTTTTCCCCAGCAGCTAGCAAGACAGAGCTCATGTCTCCAACGCAAACGTAGCATGCCTGTTCACTTCTCGTGTTGCTTTGTTTTCACAGTTAATTAAACAGACTTCATTTTTAGCCCGTGGTCTTCTTGCTCGACAAACACAACACTGTTCTAACTAAACTTTTGAAAATTCCACCCTCCGTTCTCGGCAAACAATTCTGCAAATAGCACAGTCTTGTCTGTTGATTTAACATCAGGCCGCTGTCTTGACTGACACTCTAGCTGCAAGTTGTGTCTATCAAATTTTTTACAGCGCTTTGATAATTTAATCCAGGTTTTAACACCTGTTAGATATAATAGCTTTTGCCCACACACACACATACACACACACAAAGAGATGTGAAGCAAATCTGATCTTTTATATTTATTGAGAAAAGGCCCCAACAAATTATGTAACTTTTAAGAAAAGTGTGAACTTTCATACTGACAGAGAACTGACACGAAATAATGTCCATTTAGAGAAAAGTGTGAACTTTCATACTGACAGAGAACCAACAAAAACTAATAATGTTTGTGTAGAGAAAAATGTGACTTTCATGCTGACAAAGAACAAAATAATTTTTAAAAAATCTATTTAGAGAAAAGTGAAAACTTTCATACTGACTGAGAACAGGCAAAAAAATAATGTTTGTTTAGTGGAAAACAAACCACAAAAAAAAAAAAAAAAACGCTGTTGAAATAACTTTTGGTGTAACATTTATGAGGTCAGTAAATGTCTATTTTTCCCCTCACATAATACATTTGTCATATTATTGTAACATACATTTCTGTTTCAGTAAATAAATTAACTGAAAGCTGGCTATGACTGGGAAGTTCAATGAGGGGGAGGAAAAAACTTGTTTCAAATTGTTTGTGGACTTCCAACAGAAAAAAACTATCCAGATTTTTCGGTAATGTAAGCATAAAAAAATATGTACATTTTATTTTAAAGACTTACTGTATAACAAATAATCAGTAAAAAAAAAAAACACATGCAAAAAATTAATTAAAAAAAAAATAAACAAAAAACAGGAAAGAAAAGAAAAACAATTTCTTTAAATAAACAAGAAAAACAGTCACAAATCTTTGTATTACCAGCTGCAAAATAGATTAATAAAACTATATGAGACTATATACACATAACTTATTTACACAGAAGAACATATGAGTTAGGCTTAATGCTTAAAAAAAGAAAAAACTTATGAGCAAAGACATAAACATGGCTGATTCAAAGAAAATACTTTATGGTCCTCCAGAAAAATGATAGGTAAACAACAATCACGTCTAATAACACAGAAGTCAAGAACAGACTCTGACTCATTAAAAACACAAATTTAAAATGAAATGGGATATGAAATGAGGTAATACCCATATTTAGGCAACAATAGATTTTTATAGCAACGATTCAAATAATCATGCAATAATACCACAGTACCGAATGAGCGGGCACACACAACAGCACGCTACAGGACAAGAGGCTGACCAAGAAAGATATGGGTGGAGGGAGTAAAAGAGACACTACAGAAACGCATTATAACATTAACACAAGCTAGGCAACTAGCAAAAGACAGGAAACTATATCTAACTCCTTTCTGTGACACTTTATGGCATTAGCATTTGGACAAATGAAGACAGACTGAACGAGCTATGCAGATTTTAAGTATAATCATGAATTAACTATCAAAACAGCATGTTTTTAACTCTTTGAGTCCCAGGGGGTTTAGCATCACAGGCCCAGGGGTAGTAAAGAAAGTAATAAAATCGGCGCATCATGTGTTCATTGGGCTTCTAGGTAGGAACCTATGAATGTATGATGCGTTCCGTGTGGGACTCAAAGAGTTAAATAACTGCTGTATATATTACTTGTAGAAAGTGCAACATATTCAACTAACTACTAAAATAGTCTGCTTAGAGTGGTAGTAAGTAGAAATGTAGAAAGTGGCAATGCATTTGTGGTATTTTTCTTAAAGTTTACAAAATAAAGTAAAAGACTTCTTGTCCATGCCTGCAGGCTTATTGGGCATATATTTAGGCCTTTATTTTATAGACCAACCGGCACTCTGTGGTTGATGTGGTCAGCATCATACTGGCTGCCTTTACATCCCAGGACTTTTAACTGGTTTTGATTTTAGGCCTGGGTCGACCTGGGAGCCAAGGTCCTTGTTGAAAAAAAGAATAGGTCTGTTCGGATTTAAATCCACGACCTTTTGATCAACAGGCGAGCATCTAGCCGCTTTTGCATGGCAGCTCCCTTAAAGTATACAACCAATAGAAAAGTACAAAGTGACTAAAATGAAATCATCATTAAATTAGTCAACAATAATTAGGGATGGAGAAGAAGGCAGTGTCAGATAGGTCTCTAACCGGGAAGGCTAACCGGGTCAACAAATGCTCGCAGAAGTCGGATGTATCGGCCGAAAGGTGCAAACATCGCAGCCATGCTGTAAACAGACACAACGCAATTACATCTTCGGATGAATGCAGAAGAAGAAGAAGAAGAAGAAGAAGATAGGTCTCTGGCATAAAAATAATCCTTTACTGTGTTTTTCCCCCATTAAATTGTGGTCCATAGCATAATGGCGAAGCTTTTCTTTTTACAAGTGTGTAGAACTGCAGGGAATGAACTAGTTACACAGGTGGATGAACACATCAACTAAACAATGACTCATCAGCGGACATAGCAATAAACATACAAGAATGTGAAAGCTATCAAAGTGCTAAAGAAACTCCTATTGCAAAGGTACATGTAAAAGTTACATAATTTTCAGATATTAAAAAAAAAAAAAAAGTGTAGTGCCAAAAGAATTTACCTTTTTTTCAGAATCTTTCATTTTCTTTTTCTTCTTTTCCATATCCTTTTCATATCTCTCTGTCAATTCCTTTAGTTGTCTCTCCCATTCAGAGTCGACCTCCTTGTTTATTAATTTGTCTTCCTTCAATCTTTCTTGTTGGAATTCTCTGTAAAGACATAAAAGATGTACAGCCAACCTCCTTCTGATTAATGGAAGTGGAAGCCATAGTGAACATTTATTTACATTAACTCTTTTGATCCCAGGCAAAGGTTATTTTAACTTCCCTGTGTGGGTTTTGGGTCCCCAAGGGGGAGGGGGATTAGCCCACTTCTACCTAACAAGCATGTCCTAAAAGGCAACTGATTAGAGGTTTGCTGAAATCAGATTTGTTGACCCAAAAGGTGCGGATATCACAGGCTAGCTGTAAACCATATCCTAATATGCTATTCACCAGTTTAAGGGCAAGTGGCGAAATGGTCTAGCTGTCTGCCTCATGCTCTGAAAGTTGTTGGTTCACTTCCATCGGTATCATTTGGTTCACAAGTGCAATTTCTATGACAACCAGTGAGGATCATCCCCAAAGCTACGATGTTCATTCATTGTGCGACAGTCTTGGCAGGTGGCTAGCCATTCTGTGGATAGTCCGATTCATAAGGAATAAAACCCAGGCAATGAAATCAATCTTCTCTAGTTTAACATTTTTTTTTAAACAAAAGATGACGACCTGGTGATAACAAGTGTGCCTGGAAAGACCCATTCATATTAAGAAATATCTGGCACCGTCGTTGCATGAGATTTTAGGACCATTGTTTTAATAGTTAATTCATGATTATACTTAAAATCTGCATAGCTCGTTAAGTCTTTCTTCTTTTGTCCAACTGCTAATGCCATAAAGTGTCCCAGAGCGAGAAGTTAAATATAGTTTCCTGTCTTTTGCTAAATGCGTAGCTTGTGTTAATGTTATGCAGCATTTCTGTAGTGTTTATTTTACTCCCTCCACCCATTTATTTTTTGATCAGCCTCTTGCCCTTTAGCGTGCTGTTTCATGACATGCTTCTTCTCAAACAATCAGCTTTTAGCCACTGGAAGGGCGACACTAACAAAAGAAGAACGACATAAGACATTACCTAAACATCTCATCCTCCTCCTTTCTCAGCTGTTCTTCCAGTTTCCTCTGTGATTCAAAGAGTTGTTCTCTCTTCCTGGCCTGAGGAGCAGAAGTTTCAGAGTAAGACTATGTTCTATGTCCATGCATGAATGTGTTATAATATACTTGCCCATGCATAAAAATATGTTACGATGTACTTGCCTTTGCATGAATGTGTTATAATATACTTGCCCATGCATGAAAATGTGTTATGATTTACTTGTCCATGCATGAAAATGTGTTATAATATACTTGCCCATGCATGAAAATGTGTTATGATATACTTGCCCATGCATGAAAATGTGTTATGATATACTTGCTCCTGCATTAAAATATGTTATAATATACTTGCCCATGCATAAAAATATGTTATGATATACTTGCCTATAAATGAATGTGTTATAATATACTTACCCATGCATGAAAATGTGTTATAATATACTTGCCCATGCATGAAAATATGTTACGATATACTTGCCTATAAATTAATGTGTTATAATATACTTACCCATGCATGAAAATGTGTTATAATATACTTGCCCATGCATGAAAATATGTTATAATATACTTGCCCATGCATGAAAATGTGTTATAATATACTTGCTCATGCATGAAAATGTGTTATAATATACTTGACCATCCATGAAAATGTGTTATGAAATACTTGTCCATGCATGACTATATGTTACAATATATTTGTTCATGCATGAATAAATGTTATACTTGTTCATGCATGAAAATGTGTAATAATATACTTATCCATACATGAATATATGTTTATAATATACTTGTCCATGCACGAATATATGTTATAATATACTTGTCAATTGCATGAATGAAGAAGAAAAAGGAAAAAAAAAAGAAGGCTGTAGAATACAAGGCACACTGCCAAATTTAAGGTTATAATGTAATGACTTGAATGAGATTACATATGCTAAACTGTTTGAATGAATGAATGAAAAATGAATTATTTAAGGAATAAATGAATAAAGAATTAACATTACTGTATTCAGAACATTCTCCTATGTGCTTCATCCATCCCTTCCCTCAGCAGCCAACAAAGATTCCCCTATACTGGTGGCGCTAGTTGTGGTCTGATTAAAAGTTAATCTGCCCCCCCCCCCCTCCCCCTTTGCAGATAGAAAAAATGTGTCCAGTTCCTTTGCCCTCTCCAAGCTGAAACATTCTCTCCAGAGATGAATGCTGTGTTCTGCTGCACAGTTTACTTGCTCCCAGAGAGCATTCATCCTAAAGCATTATCCTAAAGTTGATGATATCATAAAATAGCTCATCACACAGAAGTGCGGTAGCAGCTAATCTATCAGTTTGTTCATTACCACGCACCCCTAAAGATCCTGGAAAAAACCTCACATTGTGCTTCATATATGAGTCTTATCAAGCGACGCAAGCCAATCTGAGTGCAAGACACCAGTTGAAATTTTCCAAAGTATACTCTGCGAGTCGATTACAATCACAACATGTCAGTCTGTCCTACTCTACAGCAATTCTGTAAAGTATTTGATCTCATCTCCCAAAACGATCTGGGGTGCTTTATTAATATCCTACCCCAAACAGAGGAAATCCACAGGTCACGGGACAGTCAGGGGGTGGTAGATAGGCTGCATGCAGTTGTGGGACCTAGGACGCACTCTCTCATGGGATGTAGGTGGGTTGGGGTTAGGGCCAGTTCTAGATGTTTTGGGGTAATTAAAAGTGTCAGAAAGCCGGAAAACCCAGTCTTACCACCCTCTAAATTGTTGGACTGTTCTGTGACGTCATCTGGGGTAGGATATTAACAAAGAACCCGATCTGGATGTCAAAATCACAAGCAACCAATCCACATTCTTTGTGTTCAGAATGAGATTAAGAGAAACAAGTATATTATGACAAAAGGAATGTTGGAAAAGAACAAAAACAGGGGGTGGGAAAGACTAAGGGAGAGGGTGTTAGTCTGTCGGGCATCTTGCCCCAGTGAAACACTGATATAAGAAATGACTGACAGTACACAAGACAGAAAGCTGTGAACAAATATGCTGACCAACATCACATGACATGGACTATAAGATGTATCTCATACGAACATCTTTAGTGCCTAAAAGATAGATGCCTCTGCAGCTCACCCCTTTCAGTTATCTCATGTGAGGGTTGCCAGATATTGTTTCCCCCTTGCGAGCCTAAATTCTGCTCCTATGGAGCAAATTTTTTATGTTATTTAAGAATATTCTATAGCCTATTTGTAGTAAAAAAAAATACCATTCAATTTTTTTTAAACAGAATCTGGCAACACTTCCTCAAAATGACATAGGCAGTAGAGCCATGAATGTTCCCGGAGATAGAGACCTACAAATGGGAACCATCTATGCCACAACCAGCCATTATGAATTTTCCTAATGTTAAATTAGAATCACTGATAACAGTCAAATGACAAAGTGAAAAGCCATTACAACGCGACAATGGCAGTCTCAATCTCTATTCTCCTATCGGAGGTTGTAAACTGATAAGCTTCGTTCAGATCTGTAATTACATTACTTTTCACACTACCTGAAAAAAGACCCATTCGGAACTTTTAACAAGTAAAAACAGCAACAAAGAAAATTCTTACACTGCATGAATAACATACAAATGGAGATTTAGAAGTGTGGATTGACATTTCATTATCGACAAAGTAGAATGGTGGTCTACAGATGGGGATTAACATTTCAATGTGCAAACAAATATTTATTCGGAAAGGAGAAGGTGTAAACATAATTAAGTGGCATCAATGGAAAATGAACTAGGAATATTGGAAAATGTCTTAATTAAAAAGTAAAATGAACTAATTAAAAAAACAACAACATATAAAATCATCGATGGCGAATATGAATGTAGCTAGTAGAAACCACTCTGTGTCATTGTTTTCTATTCAGCCTTATGATCTCTCTATGTGAATGTTAGGGTTCTAAACAGCACAAAGGCAGAGAAGTGTTCGAATAACTAAGTCAAGGAGTTATGAACCGACATCATAGTACTCGTCGGAACATGCTCATAAGCGCTCGTCTCCATCTTGTACGCAGAGTTTCAGTTCCAATAGAGCCAGTGGCAAGCAGTCTGACTGTTTGGCTTGCCTCTCTTCTTGGTGTTGGCCAGATCCCCTGGTCACTGTCTGCTACATATTGCTCTTCAGACAATGATGATCCATTTGTGTTTCTGAACTGCTGACTCGCTCTCAACGGTCTTGACCCCACCTAGCTTGCCATGCATTACTTCACCACCAAGTTGTGCAGAACCAGCAAGCCTGTCGTTCCCAACTGTTTGTTTCCCCACACACCTACATACCCGGACAGAAAGCCCAAAATATGCTAAATATCCAGTACTTCTAAGGCGATGCTTGTCACTCTGCATTGAGCATGCATGTCTTCATCTATTATTGTATTAATACACGCTTTATACATTAAAGCAAAAGATTTATGAATATGTATTGTCAGCAAACAGCAGCTATAAGAATTAACAACCAGTTGAGCACATTTAAGAGCATAAAGAGGGCAGTTAGACAGGGACTATAACCTGATTTGTTTGCCTTATACAGTGAATATATAATGAGATCTATTATGGAAATGTCAGGAATTGTGGTTGGAGGTTATAACATAAACAACCTGCGTTATGCTGATAACACTGTCTTGACAGCGACAAGTCAGAAAGAACTACAAGAATTGTGGTTGGAGGTAATAACATAAACAACCTGCGTTATGCTGGTAACACTGTCTTGACAGCGACAGGTCAGAAAGAACTACAAGAATTGTGGTTGGAGGTTATAACATAAACAACCTGCGTTATGTTGGTAACACTGTCTTGACAGAGACAAGTCAGAAAGAACTACAAGAATTGTGGTTGGAGGTAATAACATAAACAACCTGCGTTATGCTGGTAACACTGTCTTGACAGCGACAAGTCAGAAAGAACTACAAGAATTGTGGTTGGAGGTAATAACATAAACAACCTGCGTTATGCTGGTAACACTGTCTTGACAGCGACAAGTCAGAAAGAACTACAAGAATTGTGGTTGGAGGTAATAACATAAACAACCTGTGTTATGCTGGTAACACTGTCTTGACAGCGACAAGTCAGAAAGAACTACAAGAATTGTGGTTGTAGGTAATAACATAAACAACCTGCGTTATGCTGATAACACTGTCTTGACAGCGACAAGTCAGAAAGAACTACAGGAATTGTGGTTGGAGGTAATAACATAAACAACCTGCGTTATGCTGGTAACACTGTCTTGACAGCGACAAGTCAGAAAGAACTACAAGAATTGTGGTTGGAGGTAATAACATAAACAACCTGCGTTATGCTGGTAACACTGTCTTGACAGCGACAAGTCAGAAAGAACTACAAGAATTGTGGTTGGAGGTAATAACATAAACAACCTGCGTTATGCTGATAACACTGTTTTGACAGCGACAAGTCAGAAAGAACTACAGGAATTGATAGATACGATGGTGGTAGAAAGTGATAAAATGGGCCTCAGTTTCAATAATAAAAAGACAGAAGTTATGGTGATTTCCAAGAAAAGAATAGCGCCTAAATGTTTAATAAAAGTCAAAGGCATTATTTTAGGACAAGTACAGAAATTTTAGTTTCTAGGTGCATGGATAACATCCAAAGGAAGATGTATCATAGAGGTAAAGAATAGAATTGGCCAGACCAAAACTGCATTTTACAAAATGAAGAAAATTTTGTGCAATAAATCCAAGTCATTGAAGGTTAGGAAAAGAATTATCACATGCTAAATAAAGTCAGTTTTAACATACGGCTGTGAATCATGAACAATTAAGAATAAAGCCGAACAATATCTTGAGGTCTCGGAGATGTGGTTTTACAGAAGAACCCTTAGAATTCATTGGAGAGCTAAGAAGAGCAGCCCAGATGGTTTGAAAAAGGAAAATGCTCAATGACAACTTATCACAAACATCAGAGACAGTCAACATGTTTGTGTCATATTTTGAGAAGAGGGAAAATTGAACATGCCATGACTATTGGAAAGATCTGTGGAAAGAGAGATAGAGTAAGACAAGGTGAGA